TATGTGCATATGTATGAGTAATAGTGACAAAAACGCAGCTACGCACACACACAGAGACACACGCACACATCTATATACAGTCATGCATACGTAAATGTGCACAATAAACGTAAATACTCTATGGCATCTCAATCATTGTACATTGTTTGTATCAACAAAGAATGAAAATTCTATTCAAAAGGAAAAACGGAGAAGACTGCAAATCAATTTAGACACAACAAAACAAATAGCGCGTATTTGAAATAATCTGTTGGCAATCACGGGGGCAATGGACGCCAGAGGGCAGCGTGCCAGCTGATTATAGTTGCACTCTGCACTCTCCCTTTCGCTCTTGCATGCGCTGAGCACACTTGACATTCGCTGCTCGCACATGAAATTCGCTATGCAAGAGAGAACGAAATGAATAGCGCAGCGCTCGTTACGCTCAGCTGAAATGCTTTTTTCAACAAGTTAATTTTGTAGCAACAAATACTAGCAGGCAAATGAGCAAGCATACGCCGTGTAATACGTGGGCGAGAGTGGGATAGCGTGTAAAATGAGCAAGCAATGTGTGGTGAATGCATGGGAAGAGAGCGCGTGAGAGGGAGAGCGGCAGATGTAAATATTTTTGTTTTTGTTTGGCTTCTATTTTGGTGGTTGTTTTCGGATCGCTCATTCATTCGCTCACACATATCAGCTGTTTTTTGTTTTGAATGGCAATAAAGCATGTGTGCTCATGGGCGTGCATTGGGCAGGTATGGGGCAGCCACACACACGATGACGTCAATGAGCATAAGCTGATTGAATATATCATATTATTGAACAAACGTTAGAGTTGTATTTGCGTAAACACAAATCGTGAGCATGTGCAAATTAGCAAAAGCCAAATGAAATTGTATGGCTTTAACAAACAAAACAAATCGAAAATCGAAACATTGAAATTTTCCAAATGCGCAGACAACAAAGAAATAATGGCCAAGAATGTGAGCAAATATGTACTCAAGTGTGTATAAAAATAATGTCTATGGTATAATATGCATCAAGAGCCATCAAGTAGCTGTCGCAGAGTTGTTTGCCAAGCCTTAGACTATTAAGATTATCATTATATTGTCTCCCGGCTATTATTATCACAGTGCAATGCAATCGCTTCTAATCAAGTGTCACACTTTCACACACACAACAACAACAGCAATCTGTGCACTTTACTGTTATTGCATTTGCTGGCCGGCAACAATTTGCACTATTCGCGAACCGTTCGCATCCCCTTTCATGCCCATCAGCAGCGTGAATCTGCCAAATCGATTGACGTTCCCAATTGACGCCGTTTCCCGACTTTCGTTTGCGACAAGCGTTGCCAGCGCGTCTTTGCCGACGACTAACGGCCGGCCGACTCGCCAGGCCACACCGGGCCCAGAGTCAACGCGATTTGGCCCAACAGCCAGAGAGTCGCCGTCGAACGAATCCAAATACCGAATCCGATTCCAACTTCGAGTCATTTCACCAGCCACGAACACTGGTTGCTCTTATCTCTATCGATGTCTGTTGTTTATTTGTTTCCTTCTTTCTTTTTGCCATGCATGTGATTTTGTTTTCTCTCTTTCCTGCAGAGACATTGCAATGGACGTAAGAGCGAAACATATCGTATATGAATACCCTGTATATTGTATATAATAAGAAATATGAAAACATTATATTTAGTTATCAACTTTAGCTAAAGCTTCATAATATATAACTAAAAATTCTAAACAAAAAAATACTATCTAAGACTAGAATCAGTTCAATGAACTTAAAACAAAATAAAATACGAAATATAAATAAAGTATACTTAATTTGCATAAGTGAAGTATACGTGCGTAAATCAAATAAGGAAACTAAGAAAGAAAATACATATATATACAGATATAGTAAGTTTTTTGCAAATAGTTTTGCCAAGCTGAAGCTCACACCTCATCGCTACTTGCCATAAGCCAACCAGAAAGTGCAACAGCGAATTCGTTTAAGCCAACGTTTGAACTGCAGATCACTTAGCTAGCAAAAAGTCAGCAGGAAATTTTCTAACCATTTTCAGGCACTCTACCCCAATAAGGTGAGATGCAGTTTTGTGGCTGCTGACGATCGCATTTGCCACACTCGATGATTGTGCCAACAACACGATTGACTCTTGGCCGGGGGGCCACTGCAATAAATCAATGCAGTGGCGCATTTTTCAATCGCCTTCGTCGTGCCGCCCCAAACCCGGCCATTGAGCGGCAGCCAAATGCGGCAAACAACAGCGAAAACAAACGCGAAACTTTGTACACCCAGTCACTATATACATATATAAATATATATGTATGCATATATTCAAGCTCCGGATCTACTTTCAGGCAAATCACGCGTCATTCACAAGAGCGTCGAGTGTTCACAGCAAACAGTTCAAATTTAATGCGAATACTTGTTCTGGCAAGGCGTTTGAGAATAGTGAAAAGGGGGGCAGTGGGAACGAGGGGACGAATCGTTGGGGTTTTAGACATTGCGGTTGCAATTACAGTGTGTACTGCAAATAAGCAACACGCCCATGCACATAAACACTGTACGCCTGAACTTGGCTATTGACTTGGCCATAACTGCGGGGTTTTTCACAAAATTTCACGATGTGATGTGGATATAAAGATCTGTATGTATGTGCGTATGTGTATATAGGAAGAATTTGAAAATCTATTTATTGCACTGAAGAGTTCAATGTGCACTTGAATTTTGAAATTCCATTAAACCTTTTGCTAAATATCATTTATTTTATAAACTACATAGAAAACTTATTTTAGCAATTCACTTAATTTACAGTTAAATGCGACACGTTTTAAGCTCAGATAATTGCAACAGAACCGCTCGTTCGCGTAATTAAAGTCAAGACCTTTGGTCAAAACAGCTGACTAACTAAATTGAATGACTATACGAATTCCAAAACTAGAACCTCTAATCAAACCAATAAATGCAATCAATTTTGCACCAGTTCAGTTCAGCGTGCAAACGTTTTCTACAAACCTTGAGCGACTTTGTGGGTAATATTAATCATCCAATCATCTATATTATAGACACATATACAAGTTGTAAAAACGATTTTAAACTAAATAACCAGCGGAATTATACAACATATGAAGAAGTATGGATATCGGCCACCAAATGCCAATATTATCTATCCGTGCTTCAGTCTGAGATTACATATGCAAAAGCTCGTTTTGTTTGCAGATATCATAAACTAAAAACCTCAAGTCTTTTATACATATGAATTAATAAAATAAAAATAAAAATAAAAAGATAAGTTCAAAATAAAATAAAAATAACCGATTATTTAAACTTTTTTACATAGATTTATTGTCTAGGAAGAAAGTCGTTTTATGGTATTTGTTACGAAAATGGCTTTTGAATAAATAGAGCGAAATATAGTTGCGAGTGCGTTCGAAAGGTAGAATTTAGGTGGTCGGTGCGAGTACCCTGTTTATAAGCATACAAATATTTACAACATTTATCAAATTAGCATATTCAAGTCCAGTACAAGTTCCAGGCAGTGTGGCAAACATTCTCGGATTGGCGCTTAGAGGGTGCCGGGGGCGGGGGCAGCATTGATCGAGGCGACCGACTGAATGTGTCCAGACAGAGGAGCGGTGTGAACGGCGCCACGGGTCTGAGCGGTATAGACACCCTCGCGGGCAACGGCACCGACAACCACGGCGGGACCAGGACCGGCCACCAGAGCGGGGGCAGGACCAGCAATCACAGCGGAACCGTGGGCAGCCAGCACAGGACCGGGTGCGGCAAGCACGGTGGGTGCTGCTGGTGGCCAGGAGGCGACGGAGACGGCGGCGGGCCAGTTGGCAGCCGGAACACCCCAGGGTGAGGCCAGCACGGGATTCGAGACGGCGGTGTAGGAGAGACCATTACCAGCCAGCTGGGAGATCAACGGAATCACCGAAGACTGCACGCCCATGGACAGGGCCAGGGTGAAGACGACAGCGATGGCGAACTGCAGGCGAAACAATTATATTTGTCAGGCGAGTCCTCGAAAGGATTGCGATCCTTCCAATACTCACTTTCATTTTGCTAATTGTTTGCTTGGTTGCGCTCGGCTTGAACTCTTGTTCTGAACTGATCTCTTGGCAGAACCTGTGGCCAGTTTTATAGCAAAGCAAACCAGCTTCAGACCCCAACGGACCCAACAACAATGGTCAGCAAAAGTTCAGCCAAGTGAGAGTTCAACGACAACTACAACTCGGCCACAATATACATACATACATACATATTATATATTTTATATATATATCTTTTGCATACATGTGATTACAGCTAATGACATGCCATATGCAGGCGTTCACATGTTTCACACTCAATGCTCAAGAGTCGAGTTTGATCGATCATAGCCAAGCGATCTTGGCCATGTTCACAAATGCACTGCAGCCAAGCGAGACCCAACCCACTTTTCAGCTGCAGTTCCGGCTAAACTATTTTCACTCGCGTCAGCATTTATTTATTATTATTTTTTTTTCAATATTTTTTCCCATAATTACTTAATTGTTATTGCATTTCATTAGCATATAATGTGACTTGCTTGTGCTCCAATTATGGTTCGTTCATATCCTGATTTGGGCAAGGCAATAGATCTAATTGATTTACAAGCCAAATGCTCACAGATAATATCTTTATAATATAAAATTTTGAAAGTAAAATGCCCTAAGAAAATATAATTAAGGATTTCCCGACTGAGCTATGAAAGGATTAATTTAAAAATAAAAATAATATAATAATGTATATATAAAAGAAAAAACTTTTAAATATTATGGCTGATGTAATTTTTGAATTTATTACATATTACAAAAAGCTTATTAATTTATATTAATTCCAAATTTAATATGTGAAAATTAAATAAATCTTATTTAAATTTAATACCCAACATAGATGACTGTACAAGTACTAGAGGTACTCTATAAAATTGACTACTGCTCTATTGGAGTACATAAAGGACTCTACATAATATGAACTACTCCAGAGCTACAGTCTTAGGCTATGCTTCACTTTCTAATGCACCTCGCGACAGGCCCAAGTTATTTTGTGCGCTTTGGGCTGCTTGCTTCCTTTTAATTATGCCGCCCTAGATAGCCAGATGGAGCGTGTTCAAATGGACTTTACATAACACTCCAGAGCACTCCCCTGTCTTTAAGTATATGTATCATTTACCATTTGAACGCGTGGGTGCCATAGACAGTCAGAGACGTACAGCCGGATTCCAGTGCATCCGCCCACGCCACACAGCCATTAGGTGAAACAATTAAATCGCAGCACATGAAAAAAAAAGTCGATTCAATTATGCAAATGGAAAATAATTCGATTTGGATGTAAAAAAAAAAAAATCTATTTGAAGCTGACGAAAATAGTTTGAAACCTTGCGAATTGCAGCCGCATTGCAAACCAGTTTGAAGGCGGCAAAAGACACCGAGACAAAAAAAACCAAAACAAATTCGAAGCAAACCAGTCAGGTGTCGTTGCACTAGATGCATTTTCTTTGAGCCAAGCTCAAAGTTTCGGTTAGCAAACAAACAAAATTATTAGCCAACGCCAAAAGAGTTCAAGTTGAGATCTTTGTGCTGATAAGCAGTAATTAGCTGTGGCTATAATTTATAGTTCTATATACATGGTATCAACCACACACACACATCTATCTATTATTACGATAGATCGATGGGGTCTCGCCCATGCGCAGGTGCTGGCTGTTACCAATGCTGGGCTGTAATTAGCTTTAAGCGTATGCATAATTAAGCATACGCCCTGTAGTCACAATTGAAATTGAGTTCAATTAGCTCGGCTCAAAGCTATAAAAAACATACCTAACGTCCAAATATACTAAACTAAACTATTACGTATAGAGCTGTTGAAAGCACTTAAGCCCAGAGACAAAGACAGCTTTAATCTCGGCATTCTTTTGCGATATGCAATCAATTAAGCAATCTGTAATTTTTTCAAGGTTACATCAGCGTGCACTCAGCCCAAGGTCGTCTCACATATTTATTTGTTTATTAATTTAGATACATGGCTAAGGCTAATTTAATGACTACCTTTCCTTTCCTTTACTTAGTCACATTATAATTGTCTTCAATTGGCCAGGTGCTCAAAAGGGGCTGGGCTGTCTTTGCGCCCTGGAGAAATAGCTGTAACCAGCTGCAGCCAACTTGATAAGCGTAATAGGTGCTTAGTAAAGCTACTAACTTAATGAGCAGACAATATAGAGCGGCCAGCTTACCAGGGAAGAGTTGGTGATGAGGAATTTATTCTATTGTTGACGAAGACTCACTAACAGGAAATGTTTATTTTTTTATCAATAAAAGACAATACATCTGTTTTACTAAAGTAGGTATCTTGTTAATTTCCTAGTATAAACCGTTATTGGAGACCTTAAAGTTTCTTGGAGCTAAGACATATGTACTTTTCTTTAATTCAACTGTATTAAAACTATCTAGAGCAAGCACTA